AAATACTTAGGATATTAGAAAATAAACCCAAGAGTTTGATATTTTTAGAAAGATTTATCTTTATTGACATAGAATAATACTGCAAAGTACACTTTGAAACTATGTTAAATATTTGTGTGTTATTTTTCTAATTTTAACTTTAAATACAAAGGTTAATAATTAATGTGATGAATTAGGGAAACATTTCTATGCTTCAATTGTCACATTTTTTTTTTAAAAAAAGATAGTATACAATATAATAATAAATTTAAAGAACTTAGCATAGTGCATGACACATAGTAAATAAATGTTGCTGAGGGCCTAGTAGTAAGAAGCTGCACTGCAATTCTGAAGACGCACAGATTGAATCCACCAGTTGTTCCACTGGAGAAGGAAGGACAAACTCTTCCCATGTGATTTACTGTCTCTGAAAATTCATCTGAGGGTCAGCTATGGGTCGGTTCCAACTTAATGATACTCAACAACAACAGTTGTAGGAAGTTGTGCTGCAATTACAAAGGCAGGAGTTTCAAATACACCAGCTGTTCCAAGGAGGAGGGATGGATAGTCTCCTCCCATGCGATTTATTGCCTCTGGAAACCTAGTGGAAGGTCAGCTATGGGTTAGTTCCAACTCCATGGCACACACCAACTAACTACACAATGATTAGTAACAGTTAACAGCATAAGTTAACATTTTAAAGCATAGAAAAGATTGATTAATCTTTGCTCTGTTACTATTATCTTATGTCTTTAGGTAGCTATTTTTCACATGGAATTCTAAGAGTACATCCGCTTAAGACATGCAGTGGACCAATCAGAATAGGATTGTCAAGGAAAGCTAAACTTAAGCAACTTCATCCCTATCTGAAATAAATGTTACAAGAACTCAAAGAAGCTGTTGGAATTGTATTTTGAAGTTCTTTAGAATATTTAATAATGATTTGTTGTCTTCTTTGAACAAATAACATCTTCTGTTTTGGAATTTTCTCTATTATGAAGGATACGCAGATACTTTTTTTGTGAAATAATCTTTTATCCTAAAAATTATAAAATAGTTTATTGATATCATGTTGATAATATGAATGTGAAACAACTTTAATGATCTTATTTAAATGTCTACAGATTGCTATCTTTATATGATCTTCCTAAGAGAAAAATTGATACTATTTATGGGTTTCTCAGAAGTATTTATGAGCCAAAGAAGATAATGAACTACTGTTCTAATAAGTTACCCAAATTTATTGGATGAAACAAAGTGCTGCAGATAGAATCCTTCACTTGTTTAAGATCACACAATTAGCATTGAGATAGGAGTTCTCTTTTAGATTTGTTTCTCACTTTGCTCTGAATTTTTAAAATAATCTTAATTTCCTCTAGGACCTATTTATTTAGGACTTAGAATTGTGGTCATATAGCTAATATCTACTCTTTCACTTCGCCATCAAAAATAATGCAATTAACCTACTAAAGTCTAGATATTATGTTAGGCCTTCTGACAAAGAACATGTGGCTATTTCTTTTATATAAGATAAATAAGTATAGCTTATTTTCTGTGCTGAGGTTGGTAAAGGAATATGTAAACATTTAAAAGTAATCATCTATAATGGAAGGAAATTAAAAAATAGACGAAAATATATTGTCAAAAGACTAGATATAGGAAAAGCAATAAATTAGCTGCTTAGTGAAAAATAAAGCATGAGGAAAGGATAAAAATATCTAATGATTAAAAAGTAAACATAACAGTTACAAATTGCAAAGATTCTCAGAGTTAAAAACAAATAACTATCAACTTCAATTCTAATTATTTCTATTCTTCATTATATATTTTCCAATAATAATTTTTTGATTTATTTTCTCTTCTTCCCATTCTAACCCCTATACTGAACTCATATAATAAATAATTACTCTTCTGCTGAAATGTAAACTCCTCTTTTAATGCAAATTTTCTACCCCCACTCCTATTTTCCAAGTACTTAGCATAATCTATGCTCCCTTGTAATTACTTATGAAATAGTCAATAAGTGAATGAACTAATGTATGCTTTTCTCCTCTGGTCTCATAATAGTTAAGCTTTTGAATTCTTCATAGCTTTGTGACATTAGACAAGTCCTCAATTTTAAAAAAAGAGGATAAATTTCATGCTTAATGTGATTATTGTTAGAATTAAAGCACCTAATATAAGTTGTAAGTTTAGAACAGTTCTGATGCATAGTAATTACTTGATGGCATTTAAAAAAAACTCAGCTATTTATTTACATTTCCCCCCATAGATCCTGCATTAGATTATGATTATTTTCAGGAGTGAACTGTTTGAGTTTTATAAAACTGATTTCTACTTTTTATAAGATTTTTCTCTACTTCCTTAATATTATTATAACAAATCTCATGTTGAACTTTGGGGAAAAACCTTTTCTGTAATAAAATTCATCACAATAAAAGTTTGTCTTTCTACTGTATTCATATGGTCTTTTTCTTCCTTTCAGTATTGATGAATATTGAATTTTTTTTCAGGTTTATTTCTCAAGGGCAGATTTGTGAGCTTCCAGTCTTATTTCTTGTCTCATGAGGCTGTCATGGGGAATAGTCACTACTATTCTCTTATGTTCTGAAATAATTGATAATGCAATAAGCTTAGACTCCTAGCTTATCTGTTTTCCATGCCACTGTTCCATTATCCAGGAACTGTAGTGGTGCAATCCATTACATTTTGGGTTGCTAACTGGAAGATGGTATTGTTGTGAGATGCAATCAAGTTGACCATGACTCATAGCAACCCTACAAACAGTGAACATGAGCTCTGCCCTAGTGTGTGCCATCCTCACCATCCTGTTATATTAAAGTCTACTTATTCCAGCCATTGTGTCAATCAATTTCATTGAGTCTCTCCCTCTCTCACTTAGCCTCTGCCCTTCTAAGACTTCCTTCTCCAGGGACTGGCTTCTCCTAGCAACATGCCCGAAGTATGTTTTCATCATTCTTCCCTCTGAGGAACATCCTGGTTGCACTTTCTCCAATACATTTTTGTTTATTCTTGTGGTAGTCTGTTTGATATTCAATATTCTGTCACCCTTAGTCAATATCCTGCTTTCAGCTACATAGGAAACAATAAAAAAGTTCATGGCTTGAATCAGGCACACGTCAGTCCTCAAATTGACATCACTACCCTTCAGTACCTTGTGGAGATCCCTGATAGCTGACTTTTCAATGCAACGGTTTTTTTTTAAAATTTAAATTTCTTGACTGCTGTTGCCCACAAAATTGATCCGAGCAAGACAAAATTGGAAACCACTTAATCTTCTCTCCATCTATGATGATGCCTATTTTCTGACAGGAGAGGATCTTTGTTTTCTTGATGTTGAAATGCAGTCTGTATTGAAGGCTGTATAGTCTTTGACCTTTTGCAGTAAGTGTCTCAGGTTCTCCTTGCTTTTGGCAAACAAGTTGTATCACCAGCATACTACAGGTTGTTGAGTTTTTCTCTGATATTGATGTAGTATTTTTTTCTATAGAGTCCATATTCTACAATGATTTGCTCTGCATACAAATAGAATAGGTATAGAGAAGGCACAACCTTGATGTATATATATCTTTCTTGATTTTTTAAAATCATCTAGTGTTCCTCTGCTCAGACAATTCCTTTCTGATCTAGGTAGAGGTTCACTTGAGCACAATTAAATATTCTGAGATTTCCATTCCTTTCAATTTTATCCATTATTTGTTACAATACACATTGTCAAATACATTTGCATAGTCAACAGAGCACAAATAGACATTCTTCTAGTATTAGCTTTCAGCCAAGATCCATCTTACATCAGCAATATCTCTAGTGCTACAGCTTTTAAATCCACCTTGAACATCTGGCAGTTCTCTGTTGATGTGCTGTTCCAACTATCTCTGTAAGATCTTCAGCAAGATTTTGTTTGAATGTGATACTAGTGATATTGCACAATAATTTCCACATTCAGTTGGATTAAAACTATTTTCTTGGGAACGGATAAGATGGTGTATTTTTTCTTGTCATTGGCCAGGTAGCTGTCTTCCAAATTTCCAGTATATTTCACCAGTCTAGACTGGTGAGTATGCCCAGAGCTGTATCTCTGTGTTTGACACATGTCAATTGGTATTCTATCAATTTATGGGAGCCTATTTTTTGTGTGTTTTTCCTTTTTTAAAATTATTATTAATTTTAATGAAAATTTACAGACTTTGGATTTCCATTCATTCGTTGTTGCACTTTTCTCTCTACCTCCCCCTCCCCCCAGTTCTCTCTTCTCTTTGAAAAGTAAAAGAAAAATTCTTTAATTATTATACAATCTCTCCCCTTAAGTCCACTCCACTATGAAGCCTTCATTCTGGACTCCTGTCATTACAATAATACCTAATCATATATCCCTTTTAAATCTGTTTCATTGCAGTATACATAATTTATCCCATCTTTCTCAGTCTCCCCAAACCCCAATGTCAGTCCTGTTTTACAAAGAGGCACAATGCAGTATTTGTCCTATTGTGACTGAGATATTTCACTCAACATAATGTCCTTCAGGGTCACCCGTTTTGAATAATATTGCATGAGTTCCTTGTTTTTCAATGTAGTGTAGTATTCCATTGTGTGAATATACCACAACTTCTCTATCCATTCATTTGTTGATGGACCCTTAGGTTGTTTCCAACTCTTTGCTATTATGAACAAAGCTGTGATAAGCATGGGTGTACATATATCTACCTGGGTGGCAGTTATGGTTTCTTTGGGGTATATTCCAAGTAGTGAAATTGCTGAGTCAAATGGTTTTCCTAGAGGCCCTAATTTTTTCAGTGTCTTCAGTGAAGCGTGAACTTCCATTCCTGCCCATAATATTTGTAAGTTTATTGTAGCTATGGTTTACTCATAGAAGATCAAGGCTTATCTGTCTATTTCTAAGGAAGTAATCTCCATGTGATGTATTTTACAACTTATGTATATGTATGCTTGTTTGTTCTTATGATTACAAAACTTGTCTGACAGTCTCTGTATTGAGATGACCCATAGGTTACTGTGAAGGTGACAAGGAAGCAGAATTGCACATCCACTTTTGAAAGAACAGACCTTTGAAAACCCTAAGAACATCAGAAGAGCACTGTAAGGCAGAACTTAAAGACAGATGGTTCAAATTCACCAGTCACTCCATGAGAGAAAGAGGGCAGTGCGCTCCTGTGAAGCGAATTGAAGGAGGGGAAGGGCAGAAAAGGATGTATCAATGAATAAATGAAAACCCATACTTTGTGTAAACTTTCTCTAAAATCACAATTAAAACAACACAAAATAACAACAAAAAAATTTTAGTCCCGGAAAGTAGACTGAAAATCATCATGAGTTAGAATGTGTTTGCTGTTGGTTGGGTCCCCTTATTGCTTTGAACTACAGAGCTTTGCTGAGAGTAATTATATCTTCCAAAATGGTAAATAAGGTACACTCAAGCATTCCTTTCCTTACTACTTTACATCTCAGAACTCAAATAGACACCTTATTCCCTTCATGCTTAAGTCTGTAATTCCTGCATCCAGAGTTAGAAAGTTGAATGGCAGGGCTACTAACATTTTAGCTCTTATAGCTTTGTGTTTTCATGGTCAGATTTGGAGAGGCTGTAATGGGACTTGATAGGAGACAATTTAAGTTTATCTATTTTCCACTTTGTCCTTTTTATCTTTGTTTTTACAATATAAAAGTTGAATGCTTTCAGTTGTTGTTGTTGTTAAGTGCCGTTGAGTCGCAGGCAACCCATCGAGACCCTATGAAACAGAGTCCTCCACACTTGGGTGCCTTTCATCCTCTCTCCAGGTTCTTAGGGTTTCCCTAGGCAAGCTATTATGGAAGTGGATGCCACTCCTCCTTCCAA